TAGCAACTAGTTGAACTTTGATTGATATGGAGAAATGTGAGTGGACCTTAACGGTGGAAGGTGAAAAAGAAGTTTTTAAATTACAAAATCCAGCCAAACAACCATCAAACCTCGAGGAGTGCAAGTATATTGATAAAGATGATTTACAAAGCTCCCAGAAGAGAAAATCTAAAGTTGGTGGAATTCCTGGTTGATATGAGAATGGAGAGTTTAAGGTGTGCAGAGCAAAAAGATGATACAATGTTGGAAATTGCAAAGAATGCAAGGATGAAAAATTCCTATTTGAACCGCCATGATAATCCCCTTTACAAAGTCTAGCTAAAGACTTTAAATTAAGTGCTTATTGAGATGCAACCAAATTTCTTACCTTTTTTTATTGAGTATGGTTTATGTCATTGCTTTGCATATAGTATATTACGGTGCATTTGTTTTAGGCATATTTTTGTTTAATAAATAGGGTCATCATGTCTATATTAAGCCTAATAAAATAACAAAAATATATTTCAGTATAAAACACATGTAGCACATTTTTCAATGCTACAAGGATATATAAAAAAAAACTGGTTATCATGCACACCGTACTCTAGCGTTTAAACTAATTTTTGACACCTATATATGTTTTCTTTCATCTTTCAAAGGTACAAAGATATCGAACGGGAGGAAGTTCAACAATATGGAGAATAGAATGGAATGATCCAAAAAGCTTACCTCATATATCAGAAAAAATTAGAGGAGTACATTCTTCTTTTCTTTCTCATCCCTTTATGTGCTATGTTAGATTTTAAGATATTGAAGCCAATATCTAATTTAATTTTGGAGGTGAAAAAAATATTTCGTGTTCATGTGGATTAGGTAGCCCGGCAATAATGAATATATTTGGGTTTATGCGTTAGTTTTTGGACTGTCAATAGGTTATATGCTTGGATTAATTGATTCTTATTAAATGATCGAAATTGTAAGAGAAATGACTTAAAAGAATCAAAAATCGAATTTGGAGACCAAAACGTAAAATTTGAAAGATGGTATAACTGAGCGACTACCCATTATAAAGCCGAGTGGTCAAAGGTAGAAGGAAAAATTTATGTTTGGGCGATTGCTCAAGTTTTGCCGAGCGACGCCCAGGCTAAATCTGGCAAAATCAGGCTGTCTCCTTTTTCTTCCAAAATTCTACATGGAAACCACTTTCTTGCATGATTTTTGACCTAATTTTAGCTCTATAAATACAAAACATGGGCAGCCAATATGGGAGACCTCTCATATACATTTTATACTCCAATTTACATCAATTCTTACCATCAAAAGAAGGCGAATTTCAAATTTTTGTGAGAAGATTGAACAACAATTGCAAGAATTCATCCAATTAGAGATTAAACCTTGATTTGGGTAAAAAAGAGAAGGCACAAGCGAAGATTTATCAAGAAACTGTTGTAAAAACTCAAAATTTTAAGATTCTTCTTCATCTTCTCAATTTATCAAAAATTCGGGTGATGTTTTTCCAATTAAACATGTTTTCTTGTAATTTTGCAATGCTGGGCTAAATTTCCAATTACTAAGATGTAGATGAATTCTTATTATGAAGTTTTTAATATAAATTAAATATTTTGGCATCCAATATGCATGAGTTCTTGAATGATTGTTATTGTGTTTAATTCTTTCAATTGTTTGATCACCAATTGAAATGATTTGTGAATTTTATTGATTTTGAGAGAAACTATAAAATAGATAACATTTATAACAACAATTGTAAAGTCCAATAGGGGATAGAACTATATCACTATACTTTGCATGATTTCTATAAATGCTCTAACGTTTTTAATGCATGTTTTCATCTTTCATAGAGATATATGAAGGTGAGATGAGGGCATATATTTAATTTGACATCAAGAGATGTTTTTAATTAATTTAGGAACATTTATTAACAAACATGCATACATATTGTCATAATATTGATTTACATTAACGATTTATTTAAAAGGGAGATTTGAAATCTTAGTAAATCATATCGAAATTTACAAAAGTTTTATAAATTGCTCAACATAATAGTTTAATTAGTTATTTTAGTATAAATTTTTCAACAAAATTTTTTATTTGATTAAAGTTAAAATTAATTGATCCTCAATTAAGTACATAGTTTTCCGGGAAACGATATTTTATTCATCACTTTATTACTTGTTCGTGATACCGTACACTTACGGAAAATCAAACAGATCAATTCTATTTTTATATTGACTATTAATAAGATCATACACTATGTAATTTGGTCACTCATAAGAATAAGACGTTCAACTTCCTAGAACCCTATGTACTATCTGAAAATTGATGCAGGAGTGTCTGAGTCAGATGTTGAGTTGTCGATAACACGTTAATGGCAGCAAAGTATCACGAGTCCAAGTGATAGTGTAACTTTCGTAATTGGGTAGTGTTTTGGTAATTTGGCCATAACTTTGGCTATGGTTATCAGAATCGTGATTATGACCACAATCCAAAAAGCTTATTTCGGCGCGCACGTTGTGGCCACCGCTCGGTGTGTACTCTTTTCAACCTCAAATTCCATTGTTTTCCCTTCTGAATTGCTATTTTTAGTTAAATTTTGCTATTGTGGAAATATTTCGATTACATGTTAGAAGATAATTTTTAACCCGNNATAATACATCTATAATATATTAAATATCGCATCAAGTGAAAATCATTTTCTGGCTGATTTTAGCCCTACTACAATTTAATTATTTAATAGTTCCTTACTTTTCATTTTTTAATATATATTTAATTGAATATTAATTATTAAACATACACGCAAATCAATAATTGAATTGTATGAGAACAATCAAATTGATTCATGAACATAAAATTTAATTAATTTGAATCAATTAATATAGAAAAAGAATAATATATATACATTTAAATAAAGGGGATGTAAGTGAACCAACATGAAATTTAATTAATTTGAATTAATAGTTATAGAAAAATAATAATTTATATACATTTAAACAAAGAGGGTGTACATGAACCAACATGGAATTTAATTAATTTGAATCAATGAATATAGAAAAAGAATAATTATATACATTTAGACAAATGACATTATATCCTATATTAAATGAATAATATTGAAATTAAATAAGTGTACAAGAACTTGAATTCCTATAATAATTGAATAGCTCCCAAATTATATGATCTTTAATAATTTACATACTCCTATAATAATTTATGATAAAATGAATAATTTTGAAAATAAATACGTGTTCAACTTGAATAATTTGTTTACTTCTATAATCATTGAATAGCTCTCAAAACATGTGTACAAGAACTTGATTATTTAATGTTATATTTAATATATTAATAAATAAATATTAATTAGTATACATGCACATACATAAATAATTGAATTGTAGTATTTATAAAGTAATTGAACAGCCAGGGGCGGACCCAGGGGGGGTCCTAGAGGGCACGTGCCCCCCAACTTTTGAATTTTTTTTTGTAAAGTTATGTTTGGTATCGATTGAAATCTAAATTTTAATATAAATCAAAGTTAACAATTAATTTTAATAACAAATTTCATGGAATCCATAACTATTTAACTTTTATCAAAATTTACTAAAAAATTGATTTTAATTTCCACCAAACAGTGACAAAATCACAATAAATTTGAATTTCGATAGCAAGCTAATTTTAAAAATTCTCTAATAATCGTACACTAATCGAATCTACAAATTGTTTATGCCATCTTAAAAATTATTTCAAGAACTACATTATG